CTCGAAATGATTATCTTTAGCTCTGCTCGGATGCTGTGCTGAGGTTGGCCGGATCATGAATTTCAATCTACTCGCGGCTGATTGCTCGGATCTGGGTAACACCTTAGTCTAACAGCTATGGGGACACTGACGTGAGCAAGATTCCGTTTCGGACACATTCCGGAGATAATCCTTAGCTTACATTGGTTTCCTCTCTATTCGATGCTGATGATTCCGAGTGAATCCAAGAGTATCGTCTGCATTGTCAGATCGTCATGGAAGCGGAGAGGAAACCCTGTCCGGCCTCAGTGTGAATTCGGCCCCGACTGCCGACTGTTTCGGCTCAAGTATCGCACTACTTCTTCGTATAGTACGCTGCTCTCCATACGGTGTTCTCGCGCCGAATGGGAATTCCCCGGACGGCTACTGGCTTATGGGGGCGCGACGCCGACGTCTTGCAGGCCACGTGTGAAGATACGGTCATCGATGCATGCACGCGAAATAGGTTGACGATAATATTCAATTCTTGTCCTGCGAAAACTGTACGGATTTTGAATAGTCTACGCCAGAGGTGGCCAACGGGCAACCCTCGTGGTCCCGCGGACTATAAGCTATCCGTATTTGAATTGGAATGTGTAAACGAGGGTCGAAGACTCTGCGAGAATGAAACCCAATTTATCTTCAAAGAGCAAACTCGTCCGAGGTATCAAGCGAGGTACCCAAGCAATCCTATCCAGGGACAGATCGTCCAAGTCGGAGGGAAACATCTGCTGGCCTCGGAAAGGTTGTACGAAGCTAATCGTACGTGAGTAAGAGCCGCAGCGCGCCGACGTACAAAACCGCTCCGTCTCCACTGTATTTTATGCAGCTTGTGCGGCGTTACGTTCTCGTACCGCGATCGTTAGATCCAGTGTGCGCGCGGCCCCTTCTCCGTGCCTCGAATAAATTACTCCTCACCGAGTACGGTATTCACTGGAGCGACCGACGGGCGGTGGGCAACGCTCCTGTTTTCACTCCGATCTCAGCTTCTAGTAGGTCGGCGGGCGGGTCGGTCAGGGCTTGTTGCAGCCCTCAGATTGGCTGCCGGCTTCGGCTCAGCGGTTGGCTTGACCGTCAGTCTATTCGACCATGAACACTTGAACAGCAGTTGCCCACGAAATCGACGAATTTACAGGATTCGAAACGCCGGCATCGTCGCTGTCGCCGCTGTCGTCTTCATAGATCATTACTCGGTTGTTTCGTCGGG